CAAAATGATTATTACTATTATTTCAAGTCGAGATCAAATGGGTATGTGCCGACCCACCCTCCAGCAACATGTGCTTAATGCTTTATTTGGTGTTCAATGGGACTTTAATGAGACATGCGCTGACCCCAACTCCCCGCATAATTCTTGGATGCCACGTGTGGTTCTCAAGTGGAATTCAATAGGACACGCGCTGATCCAAACCTCGCGCATTATTTTTCAAGACCCAATGTATTTGGCAATCGGAATTCAGAAGGACACGCGCTGTTCCCCCCCGCAGCATTCAAACATTCAATAATTTGCTATTTGTTTTTTAACCGGAATCCAATGGGACATGCGTTGATCCCAGCCTCCCTCAAAAGTCTGCAATCGTTGATTTGTTCTTCAACTTGTATGTGATGGCAAGTGCGCTGACCAGCATTTCGCAGAATTCTATAATCTTCCATGTGTTTTCGCCCAGAATTGCAGAGGACAGGCACCGATTCTGGCCTTCCGCAGAATTACCTACAATCCGATTTGTTTGTTTGAAGACAGCTTCACTGGGAAATGCGCTGATTTCAGTTTCCCTCATAATGCCTTGTTGTTTTTGTTATATGATATGACTTCACTGGAAAATGTGCTGGTCCCAGCCTCCCGCATAATGCTTACTATTCCAGGTGTAAATTTTCAACACGCTCTCAATGGGAAATGGGCCAATCCCAACCTCCCATCATACTTCTATAATATGCCGCCGTTCGTTTTTCAACAAGAATTCACTCGGAAATGGAATCCAGAAGAATCTCTGCTGGATCTCTCAAGATTTTCGGAGGAATTGCACGGAATCCCGAGGAATCCCTGAGGAATCTCTGAGAAATCTCTAAGGAGCTCCCAAAGCAGTTGCAATTGGTACCAGTTGGGTTGGAATTGGTAGCTGAATGGTTGGAATCTGTCCCAGTCGTTTGTGATCCGTCCCATTTTCGCCCCCCCCCCCCCCCCCTCTCCCGAATTCGACCTCCCCCCCCTTGAGGGCCCTCCCCGTATCTCAGGGGGGGCCCTCCTTCCGGGTTCGACCCCTTCCCCTCCCTTCCCTGCGTCCAGAGAACGCGCTCTTTCGGATATCGGCTCAAGGTGGGGACACGGACTCGAATCGGCGATACATCACCGGCAGATTGGCGATGTGCCCCCGATGGAGACGCCACACGCTGCCGGGCAGGTCGGGGCATCCATGTCCCGATCGTCGATGAATGGGCGATGAGGAGTCGATGTCTGAGCCAATCCCCTGCTGTCGCCGCTGGCGGCCGCCCATGAAACCTCCCGCTCCTCCTCCCTCTCTGCCTCTTCCTCCTCCTCCTGGTCCTCCTCATCCTCCTTCTCCTCTTCCTCCTCCTCGCGTCGTCGTTACCCTCCTTCTCCGCCTCCTTCTCTTCACATTCATCCTCGCATGGCCGTCCTCTTCCTCCTCATCTTCCTGCTCCTCCTGCTGCTGCTACCCCTGTTTCTCAATGACTCTGTGATGCGGACCGTGTCAGGAGATTCCCTCCTCCTCTTCCTCCGCAACACTATCTTCGTCTTCTTCCTCGCGTCGTCTTCCTCAACGTCACCTTCCTGCTGCTCCTTCTGTTGCTCCTCCTCCTCCTCCTCCTCCTCCTCCTCCTCCAACTCTGGGCATCCCGCCCCTCCTCTAGGAACAAGGAAAGGCGACACCAACACCAACAGGGCGAGGAGATGCGAGGAGGCAAGGGGAAACTCCCTGGTGGTGTGGTCCCCCCCTCTCGCTCGAGACATCCCCAGCCTCCAGCTCGGAGAGGCATCGAGGACCTCCTCGCTGGCGGTGGGCCCCCTGGTGGTGTTGGTATCGCATCTCCTCCCTCCGACTCCCCACCGAACTCCACAATTCGACGTCGTAAAGGCGTCAGCATGCCGTTGAAAACAATGACCAGAATTCCCGATCCCATCTCTGCGCCCGATTTCTCGAGTTGGGTTGGTCCGCGAGGGTCCCGTAGCCCGAGACGGGGCAGCAACGCCCGCCGTGATGTTCGCGAGGACGTTCTCTGCGGGAGCTGTGCCGGGAAGCTGGAAACACGCACATGGCTGGATGCCTGCCTGGAGCATCTGGAGGCGACGGCGCCGGATGCACAGCACGGCATGCCCTGCCACAGAGGGGCCGAGCGCTGGAAAGACATCTGGCCACAGGTCTATCCGGCTCTCGGCCCAGGCTGGTCGCGTTGGCGGAGGCGGAGGCGGAGGAGGAGGAGGAGGAGGAGGAGGAGGAGGAGGAGGGGGAGGAGGAGGAGGGGGAGGGGGAGGAGGAGGAGGGGGAGGAGGAGGAGGAGGAGGGAGGAGAGGAGGAGGAGGGAGGAGGAGGAGGAGGAGGAGGAGAGGAGGGAGGGAGGAGGAGGAGGAGGAGGGGGGGGGGGCGTCTGTCGGGAGAGCTGGCGGGGAGTCCCCCAAGTGCGCAGACCCCAAGCGGGCCCCTGTTCCCAGCGGCGCGGCTGGCGCAGGCAGTGCCGAGGAGATACGAGAGGACGATGTCGAGGACGATCATCGTCATCGTCATCGTCATCGTCATCGTCATCTTCGGCGGCGAGCGAGGGGGGGAAACGAGAAGGAGAAGGCCTGTTCACAAGGCGGCGGGACTTCTCAAAGCCCTCGCGCCTTCTGAGAAGTTTTTCTGGTCTTCGGGGAAGGCTTAGAAAACTTCTCAGAAGTATGGGGGACTTCCGAACCATCTGAGAAGGACTTCTCCTTCTCACTTCCCCCCCTCGCTCGCCGCCGAGTCATCGGGATGAGACGGCAGCAGTGACACGTCTTTTTCCTCCCCCCTATCGGCGGGGTCTCGACTCATCGCCTCTGCAAGGCGAGCCTCGAGGCCGCCGGGCGAAAGCAAGGAGCGCCGCATGCGCCGACCTGCAATGGGCAACTCATGTAGTGAACCGCGGCCCGGGAGAGAAAGCGGCTGTGCTGCAGAAAAACTCCATCGATCAGGAGGAGTGGGAGGAGGAGCAGGACGAGGAGGACGGAAGAGGGAACACACACACAACTACGCACATACGCACATATACACATACAGACATACACATATGTACAAACACTTTTTTGGTCGGCGGGTCGGGAGCGGGCCCCTTCTGGTTAAGAGCTAGGCGGGGCGCGCATATGTACAAACACACAGACACGCAGACACACAGGCACAGACAGACACAGGCAGAAGCACAGACACACAGACACACAGACACACAGACACACAGACGCACAGACACAGACACACAGACCCACAGACAGACAAACCCGCAGACACACAGACACACAGGCACACCGACACACAGACGCACAGACACACAGACACAGAGAACACAGACACAGAGACACAGAGACACAGAGACACAGAGACACAGAGACACACACACACACAGAGACACAGAGACACAGAGACACAGAGACACAGAGACACAGAGAACATAGACACAGAGACACAGAGACACACACAGAGACTCAGAGACACAGAGACACAGAGACACAGAGACACAGAGACAAAGAGACACAGAGACACAGAGACGCAGAGACGCAGAGGCACAGAGGCACAGAGGCACAGAGACACAGAGGCACAGAGACACCGAGACACAGAGGCACAGAGGCACAGAGGCACAGAGACGCAGAGACACACACACACACACGGCACACAAGCACACACACGCCACACGCACACACACTCACCACAATATGGGTTTGACACAAGGGGGCGCGGGGACACGCTCTGTGGTTCACCTCGCGGGCCTGCGTGCGGAAAATGGATGGAAAATGGCTGTCAGCGGGAATCCTTGAAGGTCCCCCAGAGGCACGAGGTCCAACAACGCCAAACAGTGCAGAACATCTGCTGGAGACTTCGATCGAATAGGTCTGCTTTGTTCGAGCGGGATCACGGGAAGTCCGCTAGCGAGCGGGAGTTGAGCATGCTGCCTCGTGGGCTCTAGCTGACGGGGCAAATGTTGAAGAGTAAGAAGGAAGGCATTCATAATACGAATATATAGAACAATAATAATACCAATCTTAATAACCATCGAACGAGTAAGAGCAGCACTATAGTTATTATGAATATCACGATTTTTAATATTACCATTATTATTATTAACATTCGTATTACTATTATATTAGAAAGTACTATTCGTTTTACCATCATTATCATTCGTTCTTTTGTATCACTACTGGTGTTTGTAATATTTTTCATTATTGATATTAACATGACGTATTTGTTCATTGAGATGTACATTGGTTTATGTATTTGTGTACCAATTTTATAACTATTTACTTACTCATTTGTTAAGTGTTCTTATTACAAATTCTGAATACTTTTTAGAAGCAGTTTACGTATGAGCAAAGCATATCTTCTATCACATGCTGATACGAATGGTGAGCGGAGGGGGGGGGGAGAAGAAAGGACGCACGAGGAGGCGCGGGATGGCCAGGAGGAATGCCCCCCCACCCCGCTCGCCGAAGACCCTCCAAGGACGGCGCGGCAGCGAGAGAGGGAGAGGGGCGCTGGGGCTGGCTCCTTCTGCCTCGCTTCTGGCCTTCCGGCCACCTTCACGAGGATGCTGTCGATGTCCTTGGCCTGGGCCCCGCCCCCCTCGCTGGCACCGCCGCTACTGCCAGGAAGCTGGAAATATACGCAAGTGGCCAAGTTTACGCGTCCTCCTCCTCCTCCTCCTCCTCTTTCTCCTCCTCCTCCCTCTCCTCCTCCTCCCCCCTCCCCCTCCCCCTTCTCCTCCTCCTCCTCCTCCTCCTCCGCCTCCTCCTCCTCCTCCCCCTCCTCCTCCTCCTCCTCCTCTTCCTCCTCCTCCTCCTGTCGGGGGGGCCACGCGCCGGGTGCACGTGCGGAAGCCCAGCCTGCACGGCAGGCCGAAGGGCCGAGCGCACGGAAACACATCTGGCCACCTGTGTGCTCAGCTATCGGCCCAGGCCCGCCGTCACGTGTATCCAGCTTCCTGGCAGTTAGGCGATGGAGAAGGAGGAGGAGGCCGAGTATTTTTTTGACAGCAACGCACATGCCACAGAAGAGTGCACTGCACATGAAGGCCGCGACGAAAAAACTCCACGATGGCCCACATGAGCAGTGCGACGTGCTGCGGCTCCACGAACAAAATATTGACCGAGCAAAGTGAAGGAGACCACGCCCAGGCTGACATACCATTCTCGTAATTGCTACCCCCAGCTTCAAATGAAACACGCCACGGATCGACCAGAAAACCACATATAACACATCGTCACGGAATGCGTCAGGAAGCCCCGTACAGAAGATGCTGAAAAAGGCGAGCCAACTCCAGTCCAGAAACAAAGTTCAAGAACCGAGCCGCCATACAGCCGTGTCACCCACACTTATGCGTGACAGTCAGAACGTCGTCACTGTCGTCGGAGTCAGACCCGCGCAAGGATGTCATAAAACCGACACTTTGATCGAGGTGGCAGGCGGCGAAAAGGCGGCCTTCTCCAGGATCAGCAGGAGCATCCAGGAAGAAGACGCGATGGCCGAAGCCCCTGATGACAAAGCTCGACAGGCGGACGGAAAAAACCCAGCAGCGTCTCCAGCGCAGCTGTCCGCATCCATGTCCGCAGCAGGCAGCGGCGACCCCGGGACCACCTGCGGCACGCACGGCTCCTCGGAGAGGGGGACCAGCTGCAGCTCGACGTCCTCGCCCATAGTACCAGGCAGCGACGGCGACTCCCAACAGCCTGGCGCGCGCCACGGGACAAACACTGGGGCCTCCACGTTCCAGACGAACTTGGGCTGCACGCGGTCACCAGCCTCGACAGCATGCCCTTCCAGGCGGGGCCCCTTCTGATGAGCACGAAGCAGGTCAGCAGGAGCTGTGGACAGACGGCAACCAGGTGCAACAGCGTGAGGCGCCACGTTCCTGCGGAGGACGTCGACGTGGGAAGGAGCTCGGCCAGCCAGCAACGCGCCCAAGGCTGGCACGATGGCCAGGACCCTGTCGGCGAGGTCGGGGTCACCGAAGACGAGGCTGAACGAGTCCAGACGCTGCTGATGCTGATCCTTGACCAGCTGGACCTCGGCCTGTAGCTTAGCCGCGAGCCGGTCCGCCGAGGCGCGCGCCCCGGCTGCCCCACGGAGGGGGGCTCCCGTCACCATTCTTCACAAGCGGCAGCTCACAGTCCGGCCATGCGCGGGGCATGCGGGAAGCTGGGGGCTCGAGACCGGCTTGAGCCAAAATGGCTTGAGCCAAAATGGCTACGGAGAGGAGGCCGAGTAGGAGGAGGAGGAGCAGGAGGAGGACAAGTGTAAACCTAAGACTCATCAGAAATGTTGCAAAATACCCTCCCTCCAAATTCCTCTGAATAAGTTTCTGCGTGGCTTGATTTTCAGCGAGGGAAATGCCCCGTTGGAAGGCAACCCTTTGAAAATCCTGAGCCGTGCCAAAACACCGTTACTGGGACTTCAACGCCGCGTTCCTGTTGCGTCTTGACGGTCCTGAATCGTACCAGAACGCCGTTCCTGGGACTTCAAACCACGAATCAACGCGACTGTTGCGCCTTGACAATTTTTTTTTCGGTCGCGTTCGCTAGCGAAGGCGCTAGCGGAGTCGGGAGCGCTACGGGTCACGACAGCGGCCTAATTAGCAGCTAAACGCGCCGCGAGCCCGGCGCCCTGACAATCCCACGTCGTGCCAAAAACATCGTTTCTGGGACGTCAACCATAAGAGTCCTTGACACTGTTGTAAACTCTTAAGACGAATGCGCGCGGCGCTAGGGCGAGCGCCACATTGTGAAAATCGCCCGCCCTCCATCCGTGAAGATCTTACATTTTTTTGAAGCGGGTGTTCGCGGCGCTAAGGCGAGAACCACATTTTGAACAAGAGCCGCCCCCCATCCGCGAAACTCTTGCAAACTTTCAAAACGAATAAACGCGGCGCTAAGGCGAGAACCGCGTTTGGAAAGCGGCCCGCCCTCCATCCGTGAAGCTGCTGCAAACTTTTAATACGAATGTGCGCGGCGCTCACGCTAGAACCACTTTTTGAACACCGCCTGCTCTCCATTCGTGAAGCTCTTGCAGAATTTTAGGCTTCACGATCATGATTGGTGAGGAAGTCTCAAGGGACACGCGGGGCCCGCCCTACCAACACGTCTCAGGGTGCGACAGCGAGGAGTTCTCTATCAAGGAAAAAGAACGGAGGAAGAGGAAGAGGAATATTGGACTTCCCTCTGACTCGGGCACCCAGCGGGTTCGGTTATTGGCGAGAAGCGGTCCACGCATCCCCACGCGGGGCGCAAGCGCACTAGATGGCAACGGCCGTGGTTGCTGAACACGTGGCCCCCCCGGCTCTCTGACCGCTCGTCGGCGCGGTGCTTCTTGAGTGCGCCGAAGGGGTGGTCCAGGAAGAGCGGGGCCAGCGCGTCAAGGCCCGAGGCACGTGTGCGGACGAGGCGGCTGGGCCAGGAAACGCATTGACGGAAGAAGAAGAGGGGCCATGACATCTGGGAGACCTCGTGTCCCTGACCATGACTTCCCGCCCCAATTCTCACACCTCTCTTGAAGCTTCCCGAACTCAGTGCAAAACTGCCAATGGACTGAGCTGTGAACCTATCTGGGAGATGACCTTTCGCCACTTCTGTGGCCGCACGCGCTGGCACCCAGCGCGCAGCGCTTTTCGGCCCATGCTGGCGCTGGTCGCCCGCTAAGACGGGTTGGGTGGGCCAGGCGGGGCCCGTGCCGTGATACGGGCCACTCATGAGGGCTGATGGTGGTGATGAGGGGGGGGAGGATACGGTCGGACCTAGGGCAGAAGAAGCTGCCCCAAGAACACGGGACCCTCCGCCAGCCAAGACAACCCAAACTAAAGATCATTCGAGGGTACTCTTCCCCAGGATGCACCAACGCCTCCAACAAAAACGAAAAACATTAGGGTACCCTCCCCGAACCGACCTCGATCTTGTACCTCGGTCCGTCCGTAATCGAAGAGGAGTGAACGGAGGGCAGACGGGGAACCAGCCTGAAGAGTCGCCCCGTTTTCCTGCCGAGAGCTGCACAGGATGTCAACCGAGGAGCTCCGGGCAGGGAAGCTGCTTGTCGTCAGCTGTCCCCAGAGCTGCAAGGTGGAATTCAGGAAACCAGACTCCTGACAGACGGGCTGGTTTTAGGTCGGGCGTGTCCTCCTACAGGCGGATTCTGGACGACAAATAATAAATAGTCAAAACAATGCCCCCAAATTGCCAAAAAAACAAAACAAATCACCCCCATATTATTTTTGACTATTTATGAACTTTCCTCCTGTAGAGGGACGTGCCCGACTTAAGGCTGGTTGTCGTGAGCTTGTCTTCCTGCGCTCTCTGAGGTAATAACCGCCCCTGTCTCTCCCACGGCCTCTACCTCTCGGCGCTCCTGATGGTCGCTGTGTTGCCGGATGCAAAGCCTGCAGACTGGGAGTGGAGCTGCGGGGGCGCCAGCAGGGCGGAAGGTAACCTCGTTGCGGCTGCCAGTTCAAGATGCCGCTCGCTGTTGCGAAGCGATGGAAGAGCTTGGGCTGGCACAGTGTCAGCCCTGACTGGGTGAAGCGTCACGCCTACTTGTCGCCATGATTGACGCGTTTCGTTCAATCGCGCTCCATGATTTCCCGGGGTGCTGCCCTGAGCCCTATGTTTCTTCTGGCCACCCTCTTCCTTCACGATCTCGCGGGCGATCATGTCGCGGATCTTACGCATCTGCTCGCCGTGCATCGAGACCAAGTAGATCAGGCGGCATTTCGCCACCGCCGACCCCGACTTCGGCTAGCTCCGCTGGGCCCCAGGAATGCGTGCTGGCCTTCCGGGAGGCTACGAGCCAGGGGGTGCTCGGCCAGGGTGATCGTGTCGCAGAGCTGCCTCGGGCATGCTTCGTCTTTGGGTGCCAGCCTCGGATGCCAGCTCATGGGACCACCGCCGCCGTCACTGAAGGCATGTTTCTTTCCCAAAGGTCTTTCCTTTTAGTTTAATGCAGACATTCCTGCGACAAGCTCACTGAGGGCACAACGATTGGAGCTCACCGAAGAATTTTTTGCCGTCGGCGAGCTTATGGCACGCAGTCTTGCCTTGAGTGCCAAAACTGTTTTCGTTTGGAACATGTTTGCCTTTCGTGAGCTCGTTGGACACTGCCACCGCCGCGAGCAGAATGCCAGGGGCCCCGGGACGCCAGGTCACGCCTGGGCCCTCTCCCGGTGATCCCCGTGCCGTCTCCCGGCCTGCTCGCCGTAGGTACCGCCCGCCGCCAGGGCGGTGCCTTCCCCTCCTGCCCGCCCCCCTCCCGACGCCTACGCCGCCGGCTCCAGTGTCGAATGCGACGCCGCCATCCCCCCCCCCCCGCAGGAGCGCGGGTGATCAAACTAGGTCGTGTGTGCAAAAGCGGAGAACCACGCCAGCAGCGAGGGAAGCCTGTGGGGGCGGGGTGGCTATGTCCCCAAGGACCCCAGGGAGGCGGGGGAGACGACAAGACGGCGGGGACGACACTGCGACAAACCAGATGTAAACTCCTCCTCGTCGTGCTCCTCCGCATCTGCTCAGCAATAGGAATGCCTCCTCCTCCTCCTCGCCGTCACCATTTTCCCCGGTCGGCCGGCCAGAACCTAACGGCATGACCACTCGTGGCCGAACCTGGAACGAGGACAAGAGGGTTGGGGAAGCAACGCGAGCAGTGACAGTCCGAGGGGAGCGCTGTACAAACTCGCCCTCGATACCCGGACGGGATCCCGCGGGAAAGGGCGGCAGCAGCAACGGAGTCGACCACCTCAGAGCTGGCGGCATCACCGAAACGGGGACACGCTCCAACGCGATCGTACTTCTCTGAGATCGGCGGCCGCAAGAGGAGCCAAGACGACGGTCGAGCAGCGGCGGGGGTCGCGCCGAACACACAGCGAGCCACGAGGAGAAGAGCACGCGGGAGAGCACGCAGCCGCCCCGTCACCCTCCGGCTCCTCCCCCTCCCCCTCCCCCTCCTCCTCCTCCTGCTCGAAGCTAGGCAGAGGCGGGTGGCACTCGAGTCGGCCACTCGCAGCCGCCGCGTGCTCGGCGCCGCGCACCCCGTCCGCGGGCGCAGCAGGCCCTCGGCCAGCCCGCAAGCAGGAGCTACCCGCGGGGGATCCTGCTTCATGTGTCGGCGGAAGGGCGCAAGAAGAAAGGCAAAAGGAAACGGCGACCCGTCCCTCCTCCTCCTCCTCGTCGTCGTTGTCGTCGTCCTCCTCCTCTTCGTCCTCTTCCATCCTTTCTTCTTATACATAACTCCTCCGTTTCGCACCCCAGGATGTGTTGGTAGGGCGGGCCCGGCGTTTCGTCTGAGACTTCCTCACCGTTCATGATCCTGAAGCTTGGGATTTACAGCAAATTCAAAAACGATGTGGCTCTCGCCTTCGCGCCGCGTGCATTCCTTTCAAAATGTTGCAAACAATTAACGGATGGAGGGCGGCCCGTTTTCAAGAACGTGGTTCTCGCCTGAGCGCCGCGCATCTTCGCCTCTGAACTTTTGCAGCAGTTTCGCGGATCAAGGGGGGCTCTTTTTCAACATGTGGTTCTCCCCTTAGCGCCGCGAACTTTCGATCAAAATATTTGCAACCGTTCCCAAGATTCATATGGTTGACGTCCCCGAATGGTGTTCTGGCACGATTTAGGATTGACATGACGCAGCAGTCATGTTGATTCGCGGTGTTGAACACAGGAATGGTGTTCTCGCACGTTTCTGTCGGCTGTCACGGCGCAACAGACACGTTGATTCCTTGCGTTGACGTCGCAGAAATGGCGTTGTGGGACGATGGAAGATTCTCGGACGGTTGTCTTCCAGTGGGGCAAGGGTCGCAATTCAGTTCTGTCCTGTAGGGGCCTATGAAGAAGGAACGCGGAGTGAGCGTTTGTTGCAAATCGTTGACGCGTATTGGGTTTGCACTGGTCCTCCTCCTCCATTCCTTCTCCTTCCTTCTCCTCCTGTCTCCTCCTCCTCCTCCTTCTCCTTCTCCTCCTCCTCCTCCTCCTCCATTCCTTCTCCTCCTCCTCCTCCACTCTTTCTCCTCACAGATAATCAACTCCTTCCGGTCGCACGCCGAGGCCAGTCGGAGGGGCGGGCGGGGCGTCTCGCCTGAGACTTCCTTGCCATCTGTGACCCCGAAGATTTGACTTGGCATCCGCTTCGCATTTGGAAGGCGGGCCGCTTCCGAAATGTGGCTCCTGCCTCAGCGCTGCGCACATTCGTTGTAGAAGTCTCCAATCATTTAACGGAACGAGGGCGGGTGGTTTTCGAAACGTGGCTCTCGCCTCAGCGCCGCGCGCACGCATCT